GCCCGTTAGTCCAGAGCAAATGGAAACGGCGCGCTAATTAAATAAACCCAATCAACTTTTCCTATTCCTAAATGCCGCGACGTCCCTCTGCCGTTTCGATTTTGTTATCCGCGCTGCGAGTACGAACGGAGAGCTGCCACTGAATTTTGATCAGTGGAGTTTTTCGCGGACGATTCCTCGTGACAATGATATCGAATCGACAGCCGTGGGATGAAAGACGCGTCTGGTCGGATGCGAGGGGAACAAAAGAGCGATACCGAAGTCGGGACGAAACGCGAAAGGCCGGTTGCAAAAAGGGAAACGAGAGTGGAACAACGGAGCAATAACGAAACAGGCCGGACCTAGGGAACGGAGAATTTATAGTGTTTGCAGATATAGCCGCAATACGCGTATTCCGTAGTCGGTTACAATGCCGCGATGGAGGCAGCGACACTCGTACAGCCGATCACGTGTCTGGCTTGTACCGCAATCGGGCTCATTGTCCGACGACAAGAGTGGCGAGGGTACAAAGCGACAGAGCTGAGCTAGTCGCTGCATGTAGCCGGCTAGTAAGCGCGTGCACCGGCGAACGTCATTGCGGTTCGATGCAACTAGACAATCTAGTGTAAATAGGGGAACAGTGGCGCGTGTGCGGGCCCCGGTGTGTTACGTGCCGATCTCGCGTTTCAGATCCTGCAAATCATCAGGCGGATTCGATGATACCAGCGGAGATTGAAATTGTCGGGCTAATACGATTACGAAGCGCTGCGTGAGGGGTAGCTATGCCGGCTAATAGTCGCACGTCGATTCTCCGTGTGATAGATACGATTGACCGTTTGGGTTTTAAGCCGATTGCTCGAAAACGATTCTTCCGGTAATCTGTCGATGCCCGTTGCGCGATACCGCCATCATGGCCGCGCGTCCGAAACCGCGTTTCCGAGGGTGCAGGCGTCCAAAGAGGTTCACAGACGAATCGTCCGATTCGGTAACCAGAGACAAGTTTCCGCGTTATTCCGATTTTACCGGCCCCTGCTGTTCATTAAACTCCAGGCACCGGAGGATAACGCCAGCTTTAAAACCCCTTTCAACGTTCCAAGTCCGAAAGTAGTAAGGTTGTCGCTCTCGGTTACTTTGTCACGTCGCAACTTTCTTGTTAGCGAAGTTTGGAAATACCGTCGTCGAGTGTCTTCAGCGTTGGCGCGTGGCGGTGCACCGACTTCGATCGGGGAAAAAGTTCGTAACCGAGCTTTCGGTGCTTCGGTAAAAGATATCGCTCTATCGAGCTACGATCTGTCCGGAATTCTCGTCAACCGCGCCGACGCGCTTCCTCGACGTGCTCCGGGTGAAAGACGATCGTAAAACGGAACGCGACAAACGTTCGTTTCGTTTAAAGATTGTCCATCGTAAACGCTCGTGTACACTCAACCGGGCAGGCGAGCGTGGAATAGGATCAATGTGGGGATAGGATTTAAAACGAAGATCCGAGAGATATCGGACGTTTGTTACGTCGATCGTGAAAAGCGTCCAGTTCGCGCGCAGACTTCATGGAATGTCAGTCAGCTATCTGCGCGATACTGTTTGTTATTCGATTAATCGACGAATCTTGGGCCATAGTTATCTTCGTTTCGTTCACCTGCCTCTCGTTTTCTCGTTGCAGTATAACATAAAGAAGCGGGAAGAGGTGCAGGAGGTAACCCAAGAAGAGCCAAATCCTTTGATGCGCAAGAAGAAGACGCCAGAGGAATTGGCAGCGGAAGCCGAGGCGGAAGACGAGGACGAGATTACAAGTACGTATATACCCGCCGATTCGTTCGTTCCTCGTCGATTCGTCCGTATGCAACGTGACATCGCGAGAGGGTGGTGGCCGGGGTGCACCGAGGAACAGGGCGAAGAATACCCGGCAATTCGCGGCACGCGTCGAGAGAGTAGCTAGCTAGTCGAGGAATTAATGCAACGGTACTCAGACACGGCAAGGGGTGATCGATGAAGGGTTAACGAGCCTTGGCTAGAAATCAAACAACGCTACCCCCTGTTCGGTTTCAGGGTAAATTCCACGAGCACCGTTGCATGTCACGATCCGCGTGCATTTCCATGACGAAATCGATGTTGCGTAATTGAGAGAGTTGGAAAAACTGCCAGCTAACATTTAACCATGCGACCGTTCATTTACGTTTTCCCATTGTTTTGCAACTAAACTGGGACACTGTGGACACGAGCACGCGCGTGTATTCCAGCAAAATATCGCTGCGACCAGTCTACGTGCATATGTATGTGTATGTACAATGTGCGCCTGTTTGTTTCAGAAATCAAGAACGCGTTAGACACGCATATACAAGAGATCAAAGCGCAAGTACTGGAAGGTAAATGTGAGCTCCAATAAGCCTACCTACACCCTTGAAGCGGTCGGTAAGGAGGGTGGCGCATCATGTGCTACCAGGGCCGCATCCGCCTCTCAGCCCCTACGACACCACGAGGAAGGGAAGGAGCAAGATCTGACGTGTTATTGGAGAAGCGAAAGGAAAGAGCGATACGGGAACTCACTACCAGCGTCGTCGTCGTCGTCGTCGTCGTCGTCGTTGTCGTCGTCGTCGTCGTGTTGTTCGAGTATAGATCGATTCGAGATTCGAATTGGCCAGTCGTCGCTTAGAGAGTGTCGAGAGAAGCGACAAGCACTCGAAACACCGCAAGCAACACCCGTCCTCGGGTCTCGACGATCGAACAACCGATCTCGTCGAGGGTTTTCTACGATACATCTGGAATGATCTCGAGAAACGAACGCATCGACCAAACCGGGAAAGCTGTCAGCTTGCTGCGACATTAACGACGGGAGGAATTTCAGGGAGAGACGCGAGCGTTCTGTTCGAAAGAAGAACGCGTCGTCGACGTCGTCGTCGTTGTCGATATCGAGAACGAGCCGATGGGATGAGACGAATTCCAGAGATTACCATCGATAGCGTGGTTAATTGACTGGAGTGGTCCGAAGATCCCCGACGTTGGACCAACGAATCGGTTTACCATCCGATCGCGATGAACCACCTCAGGCTCGATAGAGTGACTCCGCGTGACGGAGATTGTTTCGGAAAACGAGGAAAACGAGGAAAACGAGGACGATGTCGAACGAGGACGATGACGGAGTAAAAAGCGAAGAAATTGCGGCAGACGTGAGAACGTAGAAAGGACGAGATCGGCGAGAATTCGTTTACGTCTTACGATTCGGAGAAAGAAGAGAGACGAAGATGATCGACGAGAAGGAGGAGAGAGGAGAGTTGGTTTACGACTAGCGATTCGGAAAATGAAAGCGAGGCAGAGGAAAAAGGAAAAACAGGGACAAAGAACGAAATTGTTCGATCGATCTAAGTCTTTTCGGATGTCGCACGAATATCGTGGCGTAAATGAGACGTGAGCAGTCGAAGGGCGCGTGCGTATAAATATACCTATATATATATATATATATACAAATATAAATAAAGAAATATATATATATATAAATATATAAATAAGAAAAATGAAAGAAGTAAAAAAAAAAGACGTAAAACTAGTACCTAAGTTTTTAGTGAATTTTCGAATAGTGGTAAAAAAGAAACTACCGGTAGCAGAGTTACGTAGTCACTAGTTCGTTCGACGGCTGTTCAATAACAAGGAGATCAGAAAGGAGGGAGTCATTATTATTATTCGAGTTATTAATTATTCTCATAGTTTATTACCGCGGCCATTGTTCTTATTATTGTTACCATTAAATGTTTATATTTAGAAACAAGTTAAGACAAGGATCGAGGGCCACGAGAAACTAGAGTCAAGAGACTAAGAGTTAATAGAAGACGGAGACGGACTGCTGAGAGAGAAGTGAGAAAGGTGAAAAAAAAGAAATAAAAAATAAAATAGGAAACGAATAACGAGAAACAAGAGTAACCGGCGGCCCTTGCTCTCCCTTCCGTCCAAATTCGAATTTTTCCGATTACCTCTCGGCGATATAGCTCGATCGCGGTCGATTCGTAGTGAGACGCGTAACACCTGAGCGATTCTTAGGGACATTTAGTTAGGACACATTATGAAGAAAAGACGAAAAAAGAAAGAAAAAAAAAATGAAAAAATCGACAAACACGAACATGTTACTGTGCGCGCGTCGTTAAGGATAGCTCGACGAATCGAGCCAGCACTGACTCTCGCGTTTAAATGCAAACGATTAAAGTAAAAAAAAAAAAAACAAAAAAAAAGAAAACGAAAAAAAAAGGAGACGAATAAAATAAAAAAGAAATGCCTTTCTTTCACGTTTATACGGTGCGTTTCTATCGAGTGTAATTAGATAGTAGGTTTATTGTTAGAGAAAGGAAGAGAAAATCGATTTATACGTTCGTTCGTGAACGATCGCAGAAGGGGATGGTGCTCGGAGAAGTGTCGCTATTCGACGATCGAGATTGTTCTTAGCAAGGAGTTTTCAGGTGTTACCGCCGAAAACGTTCGAGCAAAGTAGCCGTTGTTTCACATCCTTTCTCGAAGCGGTTCACCGGTCTTTCATCGTGCTTGTTCCAGTCGTCGCGACAAACACGATCGCTGTACGAACGACGCGTGAACGATGGCGGACGGGATGGACAGAGCATCGACTGCCGGCAAGCAACGCGAGCCTTATACATATACAGAGTTAACAAGGGAATAAAATGCTCACACACATACATACACACACACACACGCGTACACACGATACCATCGCGTACACACTTATAGACTAATCGGACAGAGACAAAGAAAAAAAAAAAAAAAAAAAGGGAAAAC